AATAAGAAGATGAAACTGATAGAATTCCTGAATTATGATACTCTTTCTGCCACAAACTTGCTATGGTAACTGTGGTCAAATAAAATCACCCCTAATGATCACAGTGTCCTTGGCTTCAAAATTGTAGCCCACAATTCTTAGTTTTGACAAATGAGCCATGATTATGTAAGACATTAACATCAAGGGAAGCTGAGTGAAGGGCATATAGGAATTTATCTTTGCAGTTTTCTATAAATCTAAAATCATTCCACTATAAGAAGTTTATTTTTTAAATTATAGTTCAATAGTTACCATGCAGATGAATTGTCTGCTCCTGCCCCAGAGCCTTTGCATGTGCTGTTCTCTCTGTCTGTAGTGTGTCTCTCAGATGTCCATGTGGTTCATCCACATCTCCTTTGTGTACCTGCTCAAATGTCATCTTAATGAGACCTTCCCCTAGTGCCATATGCAAAAGTATAATCCCCACCTCCCATTTGGAATTCCTCACTTCCCTTTCCTTGTTTTATTTTCCTCTATGGCATTTATCACCATCCACCATATTATTTTTCATGTCTTATTTATTGTGCCTGACCCCACTAAAATGTAAGCTCCTTTAGGACAGGGAGTTTGGTCTTTTAATTCACCGAAGTATCCCTCAGGCCCCAGCAGAGAGACTGATAAATGATAAATCATAAAAGCACTAATGATTGAGTGGCAAGGCTTGCTTGACTAAAGAGCAGAGGGAAGTTAATAAAGTTGGAGCCTCGATGGGGAACTGTGGTTGACTGACCCTTATACAGGAGAATGTGTTTTCCAAAATATGTTAGTTTTGACACAAGAAAGTAAAACCTCATTCATTTTCAAAGACAATTGAGTTTCCATTAAGTATTGATGTTACAGTTATCTTAAAATAGGTACCATTTTGTCATTGTGGAGAAGGCCTCTAACTACAATGTGACCACCACATGTAGCAATTGTCATCAACAAGGATTCACCAAATGGGGAAGGGGTGAGTAGGAAGGGCTGCTTCCTATTAGAGCAAAGTCAGTTGAGAAGGAAGCCATGAGGCAAGGACTTAATGTAAATCACTCCCTGTTTGTCCCCTGGGCTCTGCTCTTAGCTAACTAAGCCATACAATACAGTCGGATAACATTGACCATCAGCACAGTGCCATTGATTAACAGGGACTGTGAGCACTGTGCCAAGTCATTTAAAGCCACATCATCACATGGGAGAAAGTTAGCTGCAATTCTCTTTCTTCTTCCTATATTTAAGGTCAACATAATGGCTTTGACCCTTTGTGTTCTTTAATGAGATGCTTTCACTTTGCCACAGTTATATTGTACAATATAACTGCCACAGGCCACGCTACTCCCTGCTGGCATTGGCCAACCGAACTCTACATATGCTATGTATGTACTACTGAATACGTGCAGTTGTCATCAAATATTTATAAAAGAACCCCTGCATCAAGAGCAACCTATTCGATGTTCAGAAAATAAGATGAAACACAAGACACAGTCTGTCCCCAAGAGGTTTACTATCTGAGGGGAGCCAAGTCACAGCAAGTAGAAACAGCTGTGTTGGACGTGTTCCAATCTTCGCTAAGAAACTGAGTAAACAAAACTGCTTTGACCTGAAGATGATGTCATCCCTACAGATTGCTATTCAGATGGAAATGAGATGAAGCAGTGTGGCGTGGTAGAAGAGGGAGACCTAGGTTTTAGTACCAGCTCTACCATTAAATCACATGGAAAAAGTCATCTAGATTCCCTGAGCCCCACCTTCCTAATTTTGGGAATGGGAGCATTTTTACCTCTTTGACTCCATAAATGCCAGTCTAGAAACCTCCCCTATTTCTATTTAAAACGTGCCATATTTTAAGAAGTTCTGACCTAGAGAGATAGTTTAAAGTGATCATTAATGATTCTCCCCTTATCTCACGCACACACGCACAAAAATGTGTTTGTCCAACTCTTTCTAGATATGGTCAGATTTAAACAAACCTGGCCTGAATCCCAGCACACCCAATTCTTCTTGTTTAGGCTCATTAATACATTTATCATGCCCTTTGGGTTGGGTCAGTACACTCCCAAATTTGGTTTATCTGTATCTCTTGCTCTGCTATCCTCAGTTATCAGTATTTTTCTTAACTCACTGTTTAATCGAATAAGAGGACTAAGAAAAATAAAAGGTCCATCTATTCCTTTGTTTTACTACTGTGTGTGCAGTAGATATCTCTTCCAATACAGCAGATTCAGATACAGTTCTGATCAAATCTTACCTGAAATAGCCATTATCAGTAAAGCCTGATGACCAGAAGATTTTTAATTAACCTCACTCCAGAATGACAATAATTTTTAACAATTCAAATAACAATAACATAAGAAGTTGGTCCTATAACTGTGTCTAGGGCTCAATTTCAGGAGTTGCTGGTGGGAGGGAGGCTCAGTTTTCACTCAACGCCTTTCTTTTCACTATTTACAGATTTGCCATGGGTTTGTGTAAGTTTCATTATAATAAAAATTAAAAAGCAACATTGCCCAACACCTATTATGCATTTATTATGTGCCAGGCCCTTTTATATGCATTACCTCATTTAATCCTTCCAATGACCCTGACACAATTTTTTTTCTCGTTTCTCCATTTTATAGTTGAATAAACGGGGTTAAAAACACATTCGAGGACATACATCTATTGGCCCTACTGACATCTTAAGGGAATAAAATTATATGATAGAAATAAAAATGGTGCGAGAAATTAAATTACCATACAAAGGTGAGGGAGGAATGCCCTGTCGACAAAGGAGCATGTTTATTAGGTGGACGTGAGCCAGGCTTGCAATACTAAGTCATGCTGAAATTGGGGCTCGCCTCTAGTCTCATAATCCCCAGATTTTCACTTCTCCTTCTGCAGCTTCCATTTCTCAGCCATCCTGTTAAAGGATTTGAGTGGGATTGGAAGTTTAAAATGTGGGGGAAATGCTGGCAATGGATAGCTGGTGACCTCAGATACCAAAGCTGGCCTCTCCATTCGGTCCATCAGAAGGTCAGTGTTGTGTTATTTGTGATCTCTGTCCTCTTCACATGCACAGAAATGAATGTGGACCTTTAGCGAAAACAAAACATATTGTGGAACACCCTCAAGCTTCCAGGTGTATAGATTGGGTCAGCTGAGCCAGCCTTTGGGACAGAAATCAGGGTTTTGAAGGCTAACAGTTTGAAACCAGCACATCAAGGGTCTGGTTTTTTTCAACAGATCATCTGTTTTTGAATACCTGGCAGATGGAAATAAGCTTCAGAGAGTGACAACAATTATTTTAGCAACAAACATTAATATAGCAAATGCTTTCTGTGCTCCTCAGATTATTTTTCACTTTGTTTCATTTTCATATCTAGTTAAGACAAAAATTAGGGGAGCTGCGCATGTTTATCTGCACTATATATAGCGTAGCTGATTTCCAGCGGCAAGGTGTAATAATTCACATGCTAGCATGAACCTCCGAGGCACCATGTGCTCATTTTGTGATGTTTTCCCAATCTTTTCATTAGTTTTAATATAAAACGACCTTAATACTTCCCAGGAAGCTCCCAGTTTGTGAACAGATTGGCCTTTCGAGATGTATTTTTTTTTCCCAATCACTGGTTTTTGCACCAACATTTATTGACAACTAACTATGTGCCAGATATTCTTCTGGAGCTAGAGCTAAGAACAACAAACAAAAAGAAAGAAAGAAAGAAAGAAAGAAAGAAAGAAAGAAGGAAAAGAAAAAAGAAACAGGCAAATAATCCGTACTTACGGTCTAGTTAGAATAGAGGGGCAATAACTAAAAAGGGAAGTACATTACACGAGTATGGTATGGTAGAAGGTGATGAGAAAAATAAATCAGGGAGTGCTAGGGTGGGAGGAGAGTTGCAAGTTTAAATGGAGCTCTTAAAGAAGGCCTCACTGAGAAAGAGCTTTTTGTACAAAGACTTGAAGAAGATGAAGGAATGAGCCAGGGGGAGATCGGGAGGACAGTTGTTCAAAACTGAGGGAACCAGTAAGGGCAAAGGCCCTGAGGCAAGAGTATGCCAGGCATGAGGGGGAAGAGCAGGGAGACCAGCATGTTGAACCAGAGGGAACAAGAACTGGAATAGTAGCTGATGTGCTCAGGAAAGTAATGAGGGCCAGATCCTGCAGGGCTTCGCAAACTTTTTGTAATGACTTTGGCTTTTACTTGTGAGAGGAGGAGCCTCTTAAAGAATTGAAGAGAGGAGTGATAACAATCTGACTTCAGTTTCTCATAGAAATAATATTAATTGTGGGACAGGTTCCCAGAATGACTCACCAAAGACTGTTAAACCCATATTGCCGTTGAACTAAGGTGCTAATCAGACTCTGGGAAGCTGAGCTCAGAGCACTGGACTTAGATCCAGGAGGTAGGGGTTTGGCTCATAGCTCAGTTGTGTGATTTGGGACACGTCAATTAACATCTCTGAGCCCCATTTTTCTCACTGGAGAAATAAAAATAAACAATGCCTGCCCATGGCTTTGTTCACTTGAGAAACAAGTGAAAACAAAACGGAGACGCCCTTTGTAGACTGTAAAACACTCTGTAAACGTCAGGAGGGGCAGCAACAGCAACAGTGGTTGTGGTTATGTCATTCTTATTTCAGGGAAAATTAAGTCCAAGACCTAACTCAAAATACCCAGAATGCACCTCTCCCTTCTTCCCATTACTTCTTTTTAAATAGCCATGGAAATGGGCCTCTCTTTCTCCAACACTGGAGGTCAAGGAGAGAGACAGGACCCTGCCGATTTCAACAGAAGGTGCCCTCTGGGCTCCCAGTTGATGCGTCGTAACTTACGGGGTGTTTGTAGACCGGGGCCTTCGTGGTTGCCAGGGGATGCCTAGGGAAGCATCACAGCTCCCCTCCTGTGTGCCCTGTGCATCTTCCCGGTTCTGCAGCAGGGCACTAGGCTGTTCTCAGATGGGCAACTTCTCCAAGTAACCACAGCCGTCTTCTCCTTCCCACCAGGCATTCGTCCTACGGAAGGCTTCTGGATGACCACGACTACGGGTCCTGGGGCAACTACAACAACCCTCTGTACGACGACTCCTAACAAAGGAACGTGGCCTGGGACGAGGGATAACTGCTCTTTATTTATAAGTGCTTACCCAGTAGATTTAATTACAAGTACCTGATGCGCATTGAGCGACAATCTTAAAGCCCTGTTTTATTGGTTTGGTTATTTCATTTTCCTCCCTCTCCTTTGGCTACTACAACCTCCCCTTTCTGATACAAAAAGAACCATATTTAAAGGTGTACGGAGGCTGATTTGCAGCTGAAATGGGCCAACCTTGGGCAGCCAGGCCAGACCACCACGATGGAGGCTACTGACCCCACCACAGGACCCACTGCGAGGACTGAGGAGGAGGAATCCACTTGTTTTGTCGGGGGCTACTTTTAGGGGAACTTTTTGTCTGTGGCATTCCTTAAAACTTTTATTTAGGAGATAACATTAAATCTCTATGAGTGGGAAGGAAATGAGTACTGGGAGGATTTCACCCTGCAGATGAGGAAGCAGGGATTTCTCAGAGTCCTTTCTAAGCTCTATTCACCTGGTTGTGTCTGACAGGACCCCTGCTTGGCTCTACAAGCTGCACCAAGCTCCTGAGCTGCCTAATTAATGAAAGAGGAAACTAGAAAGTGCCCAAGGAGGTCAGCAGGCAGAGGGACAGAGTTGCTGGCTACTGTCAGATCTCAGCGTACCTTCTCCCTGTTCTCCCCTCCAGGCCTCCTGTCCCTGCTCAGGATGGCTGTCCTGGTCAACAGCAGCTGGCATCCCAGCCCACAAACCTTCCGTGGAGTTGCGGTGCCACGGGAGAAGGCTGGGAAATGAGCTTAGAGAAGAGAAAGCAAGAGGCATGTGGAGAGAGGGTACAGGGGGGAGTGGAGGAGGGAGGGAGCTGGCGTGCACTGAGTACCTCCTCAGGTAAAGCGGGAATCCGCTCTCAGGAACTGTCAGAGGTGTCCACTGCTTGAAGGAGCCCACAGAGTCCCTGCTTTATACCCACAAAGCAACTGGTTCACTGCCTTACTGTCTGTTAGGTAATAGGTATAAATTGTTTTTTTTTAAAATTAAGACACTAGTCTATCGGTAATTGCTCAGTGAGGCATTTCCATAGTAAACAGACAGAGCGATTAATCCATTTATTATGACCATACACTTACCTTACTACCATATTTTGCCATGTATAATCACACTTTTTTGCCTAAATTTTTGAGGGAAAAATAAGATGTGCATTATACATGGGTATAATGATTACATACCATGGGCATAATATAAAAATACCATGTATATTGTGCCCCAAAACAGGGGTGTGCATTATACATGGCAAAATATGGTAATTCTGCCCTTCAGTAGATCAAAAGCCCTGGGTAGATCGTCTTAAAATTCCTCATAGCAAATTTTGAGAAAGAACTGACCATTTCTGCAGGTATCCATTGTAGTGGCCCTCAACCAGCAGGCAGGTCTGTACCCGCCTGCCCCACCCCCGCAGGGAAGGGACATATGAAGATGCCCTGTGACATTTTTGATTGTCACAACTTGGGGGTGCTACCAGTGGGTAGGAGACCATGGATGCACTAAATATCCTACAATGCACAGAAGAGTCCACGACAACAAAGAATTATCTGGCCCAAAGTGTCAACAGTGCTGAGTCTGAGAATCCATAATTTATTGCAGTACCCATTATGACAAAAAAACACTCCAAGGTTTTTAATAAATAAAATGACTTGTTAAATTTTTATCTCACAGTGTTTAATTTGATAGCTGACGGGTTGTTTTGGACACGCACGTTGCCTTTTTTTTTTTCTTTTTGTGTCCTAGGTAGCTTTCTTCCATAGCTATAACTGTCCCCCTATAACACCAGATAATAGCAACCAGCATCTGATGTCCTGATTTCATGGAGGAGAAAACATACGTAGGGTCCATTTCAAAATGTGTTACACTGTCCAATAGTGTCACAAAGAACTTGACACTGGTCAATTTTTATTTCTGAACTTGGACCTGCTGCCATGACTCTGTTAGTTTCCAGAAACTTGACCCTCAGCTCATTCTGTCACTCAGTATGGCAGGCAAAGCACTGGCCTGTAAGCTGCCACTGCCATGCTGTCCTAGACCCTCTGGTGTCAAAGACACCAGGATCCAGGCCATTGCCACAAACCCGCCATGCAACACTCTGAGCAAACTTTATTCCTAAACTCCTCAGGGACCAAAGGAGAATGGGCAACCTCCAGAGGGATTTTACAAAAGGAGTGGGTAATGAGGAGGAGAATTCTGACGTCTCTGATTACTATTTTTTCATATTAGTGTTATTCTCAGAAAAAAAAATTCCAGAAATGACCACCGATGCTCCTTTTGGCCAAGCTTGACCTGAATAATTGTCCCTGTTTCCTACCTTCACTCCGTGCATGGGCTTTCAGTTCAGCAAAAATAAAAACAGAATATTCCATAGTTTGTCCCTCAGTCAAAAACATTTTGACAAAGGGTCCACGAAACACCTTTATAGAGGTGCACTTCTGATATTGCTTCTGTCATAAACGCTGGATCAGAGGACGCAGCCTCTTGCCAAGGAATTTTGACCAACTATAAGCCATGAATCCAGCCAGCATCTTTCCTTACCGAAGGCTGTGATTGTGCAAGAGCAGTTGATGCATCTGTTGCTTTTATTAACTGCCAAATTCTTAGGAAAAAGAGAGGGTTCTAGACCTAAAGCAGATCTCACCCAGCAGGCAGTGTTACACACACACACCACCACCACCCCTAAGGTGATAGCTTCCTATTAAACTCTCACACTCCTTATTATGTTAGTATAAAATACCAATGGGTAGAACCTTATTTTGCCAAATGCATTTCTTTTTTATTTTTGAATTGGCCAAAAGATTTCAGCAACTGAATTCAACAAATGTTGCTACACGTACACACACAAGAAAGATGTGGCTAAAATTGATGACCTTTACATCAGCAAGAGTCTGTCCAGCTCTACCCAAGGGAGACGGCTCCAGTGGATCTAAACAACCGTCCAGGGACAGGGTTAGTCAAAGCATTAGAGGAATGTCAGAGCAGGAGGGAGGCGAGCAGCCTCTTCTAGACTATAGCCTGCAAATGATGAAACAGTGAGATTCAACTTCATTTTCTTTTCCCGTGGCCCTAATGAAGTCTCCTGCCCTCTTTGAATATCTGTCTTCATTTCTTAAATGAGGGTGATGCTTTCATATTGACCTCACCCCATGCTACCTCACAAATGTGTTGTGAGGACTAATGAAATCATGTCTACAGTGTTTTCAGTTTCTGCAGAAGAATGTTTATAGACATTTTAAGTATTTTAAGTATTACATAGATATATAAGTGATCTCAGTTTCTTGTTTGTTACTATACCAGTGTGTCGTTTTTACTTAAATCTGTAAAATTACAGCTGTGTTGTAGCCAGATCAGACAGCTGTTACAGCTCCAGGCTACTCCCCAGTGCAGCCAACTGCCTGAGGGTTAACCATGCCTGGAACCACAAAGGTTAGTTTCCATCTCCAAATGCAGGATGGCCTGGGACATAGGCCTCACAGACTGTTGAGTTAGGATCCAGGAGGTTAGGGTAGCACAGTATGGATACCTGAGCAATAGACCTCTTTACCACCTGGGGGTCTTCAGGGTTCTTTGTGGAGTTGATTTTCATTTGATGTCCTCTGTTTGCCCTTCATCTTGTTTGCAAGGGTGCATGGTTCAATCCCTTGCACCTGGAAAATGAATTTTGCAACTAGGTCAGATGCTAATTTGCACGCTGATTCACCTTCTTTGCCTTTAACCTCTTTTTTGGCAAATGAATGTACCATTTCAACTTTGATTTTAAAGTGCTAGTTGACACTGGTAATAGTGCTAACCAAGAGACCAATGCCAGATTGCTTTCTTGGGGTGAGTTAGCCAACATCATTTAAAGATGGAAAGACCTGCAACTTCTTTGATATTTGATGTGATTGTATCTACATTTGTTGTAAGACATATTGCATACCAATTATATCAATTAAAGTTGTTAAAAGCTTGCGTCTGACAGTGGTGATTCACATTTGATATATTACTCAAGCCATTTAGTTGATATGCCCAATATTGCTTATATTAAGTAGCACTGGCTTGTTCTTATAGAGAGCTCATCCCACATCAATAAATAATATTTTCTGCAGAGCAGGGAGGTCTCTCTGATCTTGAAAAAGAATTGAAGAATATCAGAAATGAAGAAACTTTCCAAGCAGTGATTTTACTTTTAACCCTATACTGTGCCTTGTAAAATAGATATTAAAAAAAATATTTTGATTCAATAAATAGATGTTGATGCATACTCCAGTCATATAAAAGCATATTGGCATTAGCAATATATTTGATAGTACTTGGTTCATTCTCTTTCAAAAAATTACATTCAGCATACCCATCTTTATCTGACAGTTAAATGGCAAGGAATCTCAATCATCCAAAACAGAACTTCAACTCCCAGAAGCTAACCAAAGGTTATTCTGATTCTGAAGAAAAGAGCAACACCAAAGCCCATGCATCTTGCAACATAGGAGCGGAATGGAACCATTTGCAACCTAGAGTTTGTTGATTTCACAGTGCATGTAAACATCAGGTCATATTTGATAAATTTAGATACCTGGCCTCCAGGGGCACAGGATGGAGGATTGACTGGGAAGAGTTAAGATGAAGACAGAATGGGAAGAAAGCATGGATTTTTTGGTATTTTTGTTAAGGACCTACTATGGACATGAAAACAAATAAAGTCTCCTTTATTCCACACTTGCCTGAATGGGACTGGTCAGGAAGCATTTTAAATGCACATAGAAAGAAAGGGCTTAATAATAATAAGTGGAGTTTATATATTATGAGTTCTTGGATTCAAATCAATATTTTTCCCACCATGATTGCTTTTTTAAGTCAGTAACCTATCTACAATCTCTTACTCCCCTGAAATTCAACAGTACTAACCAATTGCTAGCTGTATTTTGATTGTTGTAAGATAGCATTGAGTCATAAATGACACTTGAAAAGCACTTATCAAATTGAGGAGGAAAAAAGTCTGTAAGAGGTAAGATCTCTTTTCTTAAAGGATCTAGTTTTTGGCAAATGCAGAATAAACTACATCTAATGTAATAAAACAGCATTAATCAATCTGAGTCAACGAACATAATGTGTTTCTGTTTTAAGCAAGACACTGACTATTTACTATTTAAAAGGAATCTAATTAATATTCATCATGGATTTGAGGTGCTTGTGGGCAGTGTCTAATATAATCCTGACATCAGCTATAGTGGTCACTGCACTCTTTCCATCTTACAGATGGGAAAACTGAGGTTCCAGTTTATTAAACTCATTCATGTACAGAATCCTATGTACTCCCTAATGAATCAGATGGCTCCTGCTCTCCACATATTTACAGTTTAGTAAGTGTCAGGGGTGGGATTCAAACAAGGTTCTTCTGTCACCGGAGCCCTTGGTCTTTTTCCACCCAAAGGACTGGTATCTTATGTAAGTATAATCAATTCTTAAGACTCTCACACCACTTGCTAAAATGGGACCTCTACCTTTTGCAAACTTCCCTGAAGCTATTTTGGGCAATCCTGAGGGTGTCTGGCATGCAGCCCACTGCAAACCCAGTCAGCTCCCAAGCACATGTCTGCTGACTCCTGCTGCCCTGCTGGGCTGTGTTCTCTGCCAAGGGAGAGACAGCCTCACCCCTGCCCACCAGAGCTCTTCTGTTAGGGCACCAACACAGGGCTTCTGCCTTCCAGAGTTTTAGTGAATACCTCTCTCTTAGTTTCCACTTGTGTCCTCCCTGCTCCCCACAGGAGTTAGGTGCGAATCTACAGCAGCCTGGTCTATGGATAGTACTGCCCTTGGAATCACTCTTACCCAAAGTTTCCATCATTGTGCCAACTTGTCTGTCCTTGGTGTCATAATAATGACAGCATACTTTCACACGGCACTTACTATGAGCCAGATGCTGTCCTAAGCACTTTACATGAATTATCCTCCCTACGAAGTAGACATTAGTAATATTCTCATTGTATAGATGAGAAAACTAAGAGACAAAAAGGTATCAGAATTTGCCCAAGGTCACACAACTAGTAAGCAATAGGGCAGAATTCAAATGTCAACGGTTGGCCTCCACAGTTCATGCTCTTGACCACGTCTACAAAGCCCTCACTCTATGCCAGATACCCATCCATGTCTGAACCCAGTGTGGCACAACCTGAGGCCAAGGCTGGGCACCCACCAACACCAAGGCCCCTACCTGAAGGAAGATTTCTAGAGTGGCCAAAAGGTAGGGGGTCATTCTTAGGACACCTAGCCTGGCAGACTCTGAGCTGCCTCTAGAGTCTAGCACTTCCAGCCACTCAGCATCCACCAACTCAACAGCAGGGACCTCCAGGGTGACCCTTCCCTTGTCCTCAGATGCATACAGCAGCTGCGGTGAGACAGTCTAGGCTGCTGCCTCGTTCTCCCATGAGCCACTTCTCCCTTGGCTCCTGGACAGCATTCACTGCAACAAACGCTATTGGACACAGCGTTGAAAAGTTCAGGTCAGCCAGAAGCCAGGTGTTATCAGGTGGTGTGAGAGACAAATGCCCACCTCAGCCCTTGAGCTAGGACATTCAGCTCTGTAACAGTGCTTCATCAGGGGAAACAAACAAAACACTTCCCCATGTATTCCTGGGATAGATATTAAAGGCTTTCATTCCCTAACAAAGTTAAAGATTTCATACAGCAATTAGAGTCTCACACAAACTTCTCAAGAGAAGGAAAAGAAAAGGTGAGGGAAGCCACTAGCTAGTAACTGCTGAAATTCTTGGGTCTCTGGGAAGCTGCCACCATCTCAAGCTGCAACAGTGAGGCAGGATCCTCAAGAGCTCACTGTGAAGTTGCAGCTGCCTCCACACCCGATGGCAGCCTGTCTGGAAAACGGCTTTGCCTTTTCCATATCTCACCTGAGGAGCTCTCACGGACAAGCTCTAATCAGAACCACACAGGACAGGGGCTGCAAGAAACGCAGTTCCTGGCTTCACTTCTGTATTGCAAAGGAGATCTTAGAAAAGGGTGACAAGAATGCTGAGGTGAAAATAAGCAAATGAGCACAGTCTAGCTTTCTTACCCCGGATGAGAACTTCCCAAAAAGGACAATAAAGGGCATTGCTTTAACCCTAATACAATGTAAATTTCTCTTATACAACTGAGGGCTCACTCCCCTGCCCCCTAATAAGGAAATGTCCCACACGCTGCTTTAGTTCTGGAAATATTCACTCCTAGTTCGGATGCAATCTTCCTTTGAGAGCCTATGACTTAAGTTTCAAATTATAAGATTAACCACTTTATGTTAAAATTAGGGCAGTGGGTAAGGCAGGTGATAGAGAGAACTGACGTGTGTGTGTGTGTGTGTGTGTGTGTGTGTGTGTGTGTGTGTGTATACACCTACATACATATCAAAGCAAGAATGAGACTAAACAGTTACAAAAGACTTCCTTTCTGCAACTAGTCATCTGAACTTGAAGTTATTTATGACTTTCTTCTTCCACTAGCCATTCCTTTTTTTTTTTTCTTTTTGGTCCTCAGCCAACATCTTCCCTGGTCATGGCTCTTCATGTGGCCAGTAACTTAACCTTCTGTAGAAATGTAAAACTTAGAAACTAAAAAAGAGAAAAGAAGCTACTAAACTGGATATGCTACTATTTCAAAATTTTAAAAGAGGGAGGAAGGAAGGGAGGGACTCACATTGTGTATAATGTACAAAATACTCTCCCTTCCCTATGATCATTGCTATCTCCTCTTTCCTCTCCAATCCCTCCAGTCTACCTCATCCACCCCCAACAAATATCTCTTAAAAGGTTGAGGGGAGAAAACAGAGAACAGATTCAAAACCGGTCTCAGCATATGGCTTGCTGCATGCAGAACCCTGGTCATTCCATGCCTCTAGCCACCCGAGTCCTCCCAGCTCTTCCAGTTCTGCTTGAGGTCCTCTCAGGAACAATACATTCTTCAGAAAACCAAAACTTGATAAAAAAAAAGACCCATTAGAAAGAGTGGGAGAGACTAAGAACAGGGTTTTCTTCGATTTATTCTCTTTCCACATAGAAATTCCACAGACCACTGCTCCCTTCATGTCCTCCTGGTGCCCCCTCCCTCCCCTTGTGAGGACACCAGGCTGCAGATGGTTAGCTGGGCCATGAGAGCAGACCCTCGAGCTCATACACAATGAAATGAAATACATTTAACTGTTACAGGATAAGTAATCCCTAATGGTAATTAATTTCAGAACCTGAGCCCCAGGGGCTATTGGAAGGCTTATGCCATCTCCTTCTGACCAGCCATTTCTGGAAAGCAGCCAAACTCACTAAGCAGCCCTACTCGAGGGGGCATGACCTCGAGGCCTTTGCCTGACCCCTTCTAAGAGTTCCCATTATAACCTCTCAGGTGGAAAAGTTGGATTCACGTCTGTCTCCTGTGGGCCAGTTAGAATGCTTCCACGAGGACAGATAAATCCTTGAGCTAGCTTCTTGGGGACTGACCTCCTCAGTTATCCAAGGGACTGACATGTGGCTCGTCAATGAAGACAATCACAATCATTCTTTCCTACCCTCTTTGAGATCCTGGAAACTGAGACAGCTCCTTCCCTGAGAAGTAACAGGCTCTCAGTCCAACCACAGTCAAAATCATGAGCAAAGGAGAACTGGTAGGCTAGAGATTCTGCCAACTTTCTGTTCTTCCCCCTTGGCTCCTTCTCTATGCTTAGGGCACTAGATATAAGGAGGGGGTTGGGGCGATGGGAAACCCAGGCTGCTACCTGGCAGAGGTTTGTGGGATTTGAGGCCAATGTGGGTTCATTTGCTCAGGGAGAACCTCAATGTTTGCTGTGTTAAAGGCCCCATGAATTCTCCTAAGAAATGGACTGTGATAGAATTGTAGCATTGAAAGCAAAACCTACATTCACTTATTCAGCATTCAAAACACAGTGTTCATTATGCATTCTAGATGTATAAACAAGTG